TATATAAAAAGTAATGTAATCTCAACACTTGCCCAATGACCCTGCAGAAAGACAGTGGTAATGACATTTTTGCTTACTTTAAGAATCTGCGTGTTTTTAGGTTTACGACAATTAATATTATAATACAACAGTCGTAGAAATCAACAAAAATTTTGCTTCATGTCTTACGCTTACAGCTTACAAATAAAGCAGTAATTTTTAACTTTATTTAAAGACCCCTTCAAGATATTTTAAAGATTCTTACTGAAAGGGAGGTGACAACGACGATACATAGCTCGCACATTCTACATAGGTATATTTCATGGCTTACATTCGATAAAATTCATCTAAATTTTGATTGAGATGATCATTGAGGATGAGTTCTCAAAGTAAGGTCTCACTGGGAATTCAAAATGTAAAATAGCTCAGGTACAAGATTAAGGTTGAAGATTGAACATAACTGAAGCTTGGCTTTCTAAGATTCAATACGACTAAGTTTTGGTGATTGAAAGCAATCTTTACCAGGCACACTCAGTAGTTGTAACACATAGAAATGCAAAAGAAATTCCACACAATCACAAGACCGTTACCTGTTGACAACGTTTTCTGTTTGTCTTTTGCGTATCGTTGAGTGTAATAAGCCGTTCGCCTTTCCTCTTTTTGTTATCCTTTTGCACCTATTCAAAATCACAATACAGTCATTGTCACTGTACTATGAGTTCATCAAACTCCAGACATCATTCGCAAACATCAACAGAGAGATGTTTTCGTCCGCAATGACCTGTTGTAGAGAACCTGCGTCGGACGGTGTTTATTATTCCCAGGGCTCCTATTTAAATGCTGTTACCTATAGTAACAAGTAGGACGTGCTACCGCATATGGATGAATTGATCTGCTAATTCGTCAACGAAAATTCACTGGCAACACATCAACGTGTCAGCTGCCATAATTGGAAGATAGTAAAAATTTCCGAAACATTGCAGCATTTCAAGGAATGCAATCAGGAAAACAGTATTTCCGAAGTGCAAACACTGCAATCAGAACATACAGCAAAATTTTCGAAACTATAACAGTTCGCTTTGAAAGTCTGTTGCTCCGGGTTATTGCCTAGATAACTTCCTTTGCCGGTAAAAGAATGGATCATGAAAGATTAAGCTAACGAATGAAAGCGCGCATTATGCTTTTACACATAGAAAAACCAAGAAATCATGGAAGAATTTCGATAGAAATTGAATGAGTTGATATCAACGATACAAACAAAATATTACAATAACCCTTTTAAAAAAAGAAATAACTTTAACCGAGTTAGTAGGTCTACA